ATTAGCCAAAAGGAGGTGATTAACTCAAAAGAAACTCAGTATTTTAACAGATGGACTGTGATTAACTGAGAAAAAGAAAGATTGGTTCAAACAGATGGACTGTGATTGACCAAAAGGCGTGTGATTAACCAAGAAAAGGTGATTAACCCAAAGAAAAAATTTGGTTTTAACGGGCGGACTGTGATCAACCAAAGATGGGGTGATTATCCAAAAGAAGGTGATTAACCCACAAAAAAGTTGGTTTTAACGGGCGGACCGTGATCAACCAAAAATTGGGTGATTACCCGGGAGAAGGAGATTAAGCCAAAGAAAAAGCTCAGTATTAACAGACAGACTATGATTAACTAGAGAAAAGAGGATTTAGTGCTGGATGTTAAATAGTGATGACCCAAACAAGAAAGGAGAAAGAACCAAGAGAAGGTTGTAAATTCTGGTGGGGAATAGGTTAGAATAGGAAGGCTATATAAACCAGAGAAGAAAGATTGATTTAGCTGAGGAAGAAGGGAATTAGGTTTAAACTGAAAGACTATTGATCAACCAAGGAGAAGAGTGATTAAAAATATCTAGGGAAACCAAGAATGTTGATTGGCCGAGAGAGAAAAGAGTGTTGGCTTGAAGGGAAGAAGCTACTCCCAAAGAGAAGGTAAGGGTGCAAGTGATCAAGGATCGACTCGACTGGAGAAGGAGGGAGACCACAGTAAGGAGATGGAGGTGACTATCCCAGGCACAGGGTCATTCGTCCCCTACCCAAAATGGTCAGAATGAGTGTATGAATTCTCCACTCTCATTCCTTCTCTAACACCAAAGTGCGGTGCAAGAATCAAAACGGATAACACAACGACATTGAGTTTGTACAGAGCTCCAATACATTGCGAATCTTCAACTCCATGGGGGAAGAGGGAAGGGAAAAGATCTAGAAGATCCAAAGGAGAAGAAAGAGAGAATGATCGACTAATGAAAACGAAGTTTCTATTTATCAATCAAAAAGGGAATATGCTAATAATTTTCCAAATGGATAAAAAACCATTAAAGCAAAAGGGTGCTTTATTTATTATACAAGATTGAGTTCATTCCAAAAAGGAACAAACTCAATGCAAACATGAATAAAAGTGAAAAACAGTACCAAAACAATTAGCATGCATCACAACCCATGTGGCAAGTGGTCAAAGAAATATGCAAGAATGATCATGATCAAAGTGTCGAAAATGCACATTATCGAGAATTGACAAATGACATATTGAAATATCGCATAGATGCTTCAAAGAATAGGTGAATAGCTCATAAAATATCCACAAATGTTAAGCATATCAAGCCATGGAAGTTATATGAGGATAGGATAGCAAACAAACTTGAAAACGGGTAAAAATGGCATTTTGCCACTGAAGTAACCGGTTACTCTATATCAGGTAACCGGTTACTTGCTTAAAGTTGCAAAAACAAGTGAAAAATACACAGAGTAACCGGTTACTCTGTTTTGCCAAGAAAGTGAGTAACCGGTTACCACTGTGACAGTGGCAAAAACAGCTTTTTGAAAAGTCACTTTCAGTAACCAAAAGATTTCCCCAATCATCCACATGCTATGCTTGAAATTTGTGCACGAAAAATGAAGTTCAAAAGCATTTAAACATCAATTAATCATCAAGGGAAATCATTAAACATGGAGAGGAAAGATCAAGAAAGCGCATGATTAACCAAAACCGAAAAAATGGTTGAACTACATCGTAAACGCGCGAAATAGATCGAAACAGTAAATCAATTAAAAGATAACCAACCTACAAGGCTGGAATTTGCCTTGGATGTTGTTGCTATTGCTATATGATAAGAAGAAGAAAAAAAAACAGAGAATTCAGAATTTGCAACCGAACCGTAGTGAAATCGAGCAAATTGCGACGAAATCTCCAAATGCGAAATTGCACCGAATAAGCTTGAAGTAATCACTTGAGATGAATCAAAAGCCAATAAAACTCCAGAAGGTGGTGTAGAATCCCAAGATGATGATGTCTAAGCTCAAAAGAAAGCACTTCCAATGAAGAAGTTGCTACTCTTTGGTGGAGGATTTGAACTTTAGTGAGGTTTTGGGAAGATGATGGAGATGAATGTGCAAATGTTGCAGAAAATTCAGAGAGAATGTGAGAGAATCGAGAGTGATCAATGGAGAATTTGATGAAATGATTGAACCCCTTCAAGAGATGATAATGAGTGAACTTTGAGAAATAATGGAACCTCTTTTTGAAATGGTGGTGATTTGCTTATATAGAGTTTTGCTTCAGAGTGAGCTTTGGATGTAGCCTCAGAACTAGCCTTGGAGTTAGTTAGGCTCAACTCACTGAGTTGGAGGTTAACTCAGTTAGTTAGGTAGTTTACTCGGTAACTATCCCAATGAAAGTTAAAAATCCAACGGTTCACATGCTTGGAAACAAAGGTGTATGGTGGTCTTGATTGGAAATGATGTATCAGAGCAAATGCCTTCAAGTGTTTAGAAAGGTCTTGAATCATCTAGAAATATCTAGAATGTTCCACACAATGCTAGAACAATGTAGACTCCAAAATGGTAGAGAGAAAAGTGGTTGTCCTAAAATGCAGCAAAATCTGCATTTTTGCACTGGGTAACCGGTTACTTGGTTTTGCCTAGAAAATGAGTAACCGGTTACTTCATGCAAAATTTGTCAAATTTGCTTGAAAAATGGTGTTGTGGCCGCAGTTCCGATTTTCGACCTTTTGATCTGATGAATAGGCATAGAAACCTTCATTTTGTGCTTGTTTTGATGAAGTGATATCTTTGAGAGGATGTGATTAATCGGGTTTGCAAAACCTGAATATTCCTACAACAAAAATCATAGAGAAAAGGTGCGAATGCGTCTGTCAGCGATGCGAATGCACATGCTTATGCAAAAGGGAAAAAGAAGGTCAAATTTCGGGTTACGACACCCAATCCTTAGATATTTTGGTTATGATCCTCCTCTTGAGTTCTTCCAAAATTGCTCTGAGCCCTAGCCTACCATTCTCCTTTTCCTCAGAGGTCTTCCCAACTTTCACGATCGTACCAAAAAAATGACTTTCTCCACTCTCTCTTTTTCCTTTATGTCACTCTTATCCCTTGGACCCCTAATATGATTTCTCAACTTTATCCTCACTTATTTCACCCAACTTTACCATCTTGCCCTTAGTGTTCCAATTATTTATTTAAAATAATAATAATAATAAGATATTCACATTATCCACTATTATTATTATCAAAATAATTCTAATAAATCGTATACTTCTAAATATCCTCAACGCCCTCTTAACATCAACAATACCCCCCAACATAAATCATCAGACATCAAAATATTTTATAAAAATTCACCGAAATCACGAATGTTTATAATAAATAAATTAAATAAATATTTTAATTATTTTGGGGTGTTACAACTAAAACCCTCCACTTCGTCACCTTGCTGTGTACATTCTACAAATGGGGTGTGGACATTGTGAGTCCTTTCACCTTTGCGCCAAGGTAATTGAAGTTCTTAATCATTGTGGTAGACTACTTCACATAGTGGATATATGCAGGTTTGGCCTTTCCATAGTCATCATATTAGACAACGAAACACAATTTACTAGTTTGACTGTAGTAGATTTTTGTCATCACCTGGGGATACAAACGAAGTTCATCTCATTCTTCCGCTTGTATGCTAATAGTCAGGCAGAGTCGGCCAATAACGTAATATCAAATGAGATTAAGAAATTTTTTGACAATGCCAAAAGTAATTGATTGGAAGGACCGGTCAATGAAGAAATCTGTCTCCCCCCATGATTTAAGGGAGAACAAGACTCATATGTTCCACATTTTGTGATAATGAAGGTAAGGAAACTGCTCTTTGATTCTATAGCCCAGACCAAATATATTTTTATTTACCGCTCAATTTCATAATGGAGAATGAAATCACAAATTTTCTTAAAAACACGCAGAAAGGATCTTTCATAATCTCTACATGGTCGACTCCCTATAACTTCTATTTACCTTAAACATATAAAAATTCCTAAAAAATAAAATTATCACCCATATTATAAGAAGCATGATCTCTCCGATGAATTTTTTACTAGAGAGTGTCGAATGCAAATCCTAACCTTTAATAAAAAAATTTAATTAACTGCTTTCTAACTTTACTTTTACTGAATATGTAATAAAAACAATTAATTCCGTATTATTGAATGGGTAATGTTAACTTGTGCCCTTGGGGCACATGTTAAGGACTACATTAAGAAATAATATCTTGGAAATTGTATACAAACTTAAATTAAAGTATTAAATTAATTTTTAAATTGTTTTTTCCAATACAAATTTACTAAAAATAGTTTCAGGACACAAGTTAATATTACCCTTATTGAATTGATATCAATTAATTTAATTTAATGAATGTATGTAAAAGGTTGAATCTTGACTTCAATATTATTTAATATCATATTAACTAAAAATTAAATAATATAATATTAAATAATATTATTTAAATCAATTTTTAGTTAAAATTTTAAACCAATTTAAACTAAAAATCTGATACTCAATAACTCATAAGCATCATTTTTTTTATCATTTTTATATTCTCTATATAAATAAATTAATGTAAACCAATTCAACCTTGATGAAATTTGATATAAAATATTGTCTCAAAAAAACAATTCATGCATATACTAGTACATAAAATTAAAACTGGCTTAAGTTTATTAATATATTAAATTGAAAAAAAAATAGAAAGAAAAAAAAGAATAATAACGGGGAGAGAAGAGGAGGGTGTTGATGCGTACGCGTGTCCTGACAAGCTTCGCCTCTTGGCTTGGAAGAACAGTATAGAAGCAACACGAATCAATTCAACCACTCTCTCTTTTTCTCTCTCTTTACTCTTCCTTCTTTCTTCTTCTTCTTCTTCACTCTTGTAGAAACTAAAGCCACAACAAACTACACAGAACCTTCTTCTTCCATTTCAAAAGTTTGCTTTTGCTTTGGTGACTGAAAAAGAGATATGTACGTGGCTTCCATGCGCAAGTCTTTCAAGGATTCCTTAAAACTCCTTGAAGCTGATATCCAACACGCCAATACTCTGTTAGTTTTGAACCTTTTTCGACGATCCTGATTTTAATTCTTCCTTCTATTTCCCTTTTGCTTTCCAAAACTTTCTTTTTTTCATGTCAAATCATTCATGGAGGGTCAATTCTACTTTACTTAATTTTATCTTCAATTTTTGCTTTTTACCTATCTCAATGTTGTATTGTATGTATCATCTCATTCGCCTGCTTCAGTTACACGCTACTTACTGTACCTTTGTTTTTTCTAATTTAATTCAACGGTTTCTTCATTTTTGGTGTTTTTCATATGTTCTTTGGCTATTTTTTGATAACAATTTAGGAATTTTTTATATTTTATATATCTGTGTATTCAGTTACTAGTTTACTTATTGGTTTATCGCTCGATTTGTATGTTTTAGGGCTTCAGATTTTCCTAGGGAGTATGATGGTGCATGTCTTCAGATGAGAATGTCATATAGTCCAGCTGCGCACTTGTTTCTGTTTTTTGTTCAATGGACAGATTGTCATCTTGCTGGAGCTCTTGGATTGTTAAGAATCCTAATTTATAAGGTAAGGTGTGTTGATTTTTTCAATCTAGGTATTGAAGTGAGAGACTTGGATTAGGTGAACAATTTTGCTATGTGTTGTAGGTCTATGTGGATGGAACAACCACCATGTCTACCCAGGAAAGAAAAGCAAGTATAAGGGAATTCTATGGTATATCACTATATCTTTCCCTAGTGTCTCAAGTGTATGTTTGTATGTACGGTGATTTTGTTTAAGCTTCAAAGTGTAGCTTTGGCCAAAATTGTGGTGGCTCACTGTGATTCTGACAATCTTTAGTATTGGGTTTGTTTGCATTTTAGTTTTGGTTGGCTGATGACATGTTGAATTTCTGGTTTGAGCAGCTGTCATTTATCCCTCTTTATTACAACTTGAAAGAGGTGTCACTGATTCTGAGGATAAAAAACAAAAGGCTGTATGTATGGAGAGGTACCGTCGAAGAGATGAGGATGAATACTGGCAATCTTCTGACATAGACATTGAAAGAGAAGATGAATGTGGGATATGCATGGAGATGAATAGTAAAATTGTGTTGCCCAACTGTAATCATGCTATGTGCCTCAAGTGTTACCGAGAATGGTACTTCATGCTCCTTATCTTTCTTGGTGTGTGTTCGTGTGCGTGCGACTGCTGACTCTCTCATAGTCATGACATTTTTATAGATGTCAAGAAGTGAAAATATTTGGGGTTGCTTGATTTGTTTGTACTACATGTTTGACTCTTGGTATGATTTCATGCATTATTGATGTCAGTCACTACTAATTGACTATGGTATTTCAGTAATAGTGAAATTTAATCATTGAGCCTGATTGGGTTTCCCTGGGTTTTGGGTTTGTTCAGTTATCTAGGTCATATTTGTTAACATCCTTGCAAGCTAAAATGTCTATTTCATGCTAGAGGATGTAAGTAGTGGAAATCAAAAGTCTCACTGTAAGTGAACTGGTTTTAGAATCCTGTGCTTGATTGCAGGTGCAATTTCACCAATAGGCATCATGAAAATGAAGGTGAGTTGTCATTTGTCCTTATTGCTACTTGAACATGAATATGCAATACATTAGAACAAAAATAGTATTAGGGTTTGGAAGTATTGATGTCAAGATATTGGTTTGGAACTTCAAACTGGTTTTGGCTGGCAAGCTTATGTTGCTAGAAGGATGTGATTTGTATGACTTCTGAGTTCCTTTTGGCTGATAAGTACTTGAGCTATTATATATTCTGATTGTAGTACGTCCTATTTGACTTGTTGTAGTTGGTTAGGATTGAAGTATTGATTAAATTTTCCTTTATCTGAACTTGTTGATGTGTTTCTCTTCTCTGCATATGCATATGTTTTGAATAACTTCTGACAGTCTAGAAAAAACCATTGCTCTTTTACCGTTTATCTAGACGACTGTTCTTATGTGAGGAAAATGCAAGCATCAGGAATCAAGAGATTTCTTAACTTACAAGAATGAAATGTGTTTTGATTAGTGAGAAACTATTTTATTACTGTAGTGACTAAAAAGAAAATTTGTGTTATGCTTTGTGTGGAATTCTTGTGAATTTATTTGTATTTATATGGTTTAATTGGAAGAGAATGACAGAGAAAGTATTAGCCTGTGAAGTTTTATTAGATTGAATAATTGGATGAAGGGGTCAAATATCCACTGTCTATCACAAAGATGGCTGTGGTCATCGTTATTTCACTTTTGAATGGAAGACTTGTTTCCATGCTCTTGATAGACCATGTCTTCTCCATTGTCTTGTTGGCTAATCTGCTTATCAGCTAGTGGGATGAGGCTTATAGTGGTATTTACAAAACAATCCTCACCCACAAAGATTCAAACCCAAGATATTTTTGTTTTACGCCATTTGATTTTATCAGTTTGAGAAACCCTCATTGGTGTCTTATTCCTAATTTGAATTAGGGCAGTCATATAAATAGAGAGAGATTTGTAGTACTTGCTTTCTCTTTCTTATCCCAGGACATGAAATTTTAGCAGACGTCTCATGCCTTTCATCATGTGTTCAAATGTGTTTTTGGTTCAGTTGAAGGTTAAGTGGTTTGGTGTGTTTTGCAGGCGAACAATATCACAGTCATGCCCATTTTGCCGTGACAGTCTGAAGAGAGTGAACTCAGGCGATCTCTGGGTATTCACGGATAGAAGGGACGTGGTTGACATGGCAACTGTGACAAGGGAGAATCTCCGAAGGGTTTTCATGTACATAGATAAGTTGCCTTTGATTGTTCCAGACTCTATCTTTGATATGTATGACTCTCACATAAGGTAAGTGATTGCAACAGACAGATTTTAATGTATGCTGTTGTCTCGGGTTGATAGTTGTTACTCTCTTTCAATCCAAAGCTAGTCATATAAAGTCGGAATCCGTTTCACCAAATTTAGTTTATGTTATATCTGTAGAGTTACAGTTCTTGCATCCCACTTCTACCAAAAAATCCAGCCCTTTGTTATTGTGGGTTGGCGGTGAAGTTGTGATGGTAAATTTGTATCTAGCTAGCTAATATGTATATCCCTGTACAGATTGAATTAGTACTACTTAACCAGAGATTTGCACAATCTACTCTTGTCTGAGATACTTGAATTGTTTCTTTGGATGTAATGGCATACGGAAATTGTTTTCTATTGTGCCTTTTTCTGAATTGTTATGTATAAGTTATCAGTGTTAATGGATGTATGTTACTACTATTTGGTGTATAGAAGTGATGCTCTGGATATCAAATTAAAGTGCAGAAACTTTCAAGATAAGTTTTTTAATAAAAAAATATTGTTTTTTTGCCCTACCAAATTGTGGTAGTTAGTTGTGCTGAATTCATCAGTTTATATGACATTTCACCAATATGATTTAATAGCATTTAATATTTCCACCTACCTCTATCTCTTTCTCTTTCTGTCTTTGTATCCATGCACAGATTTTTCCTTGAATATGTTATTCTTTCAATGCTCAATTCCATTTGTTCCAACTCTTCATTCACAAAAATAATTGTTATACCTACAAATAGACTTCATGAAAATATCAAATTCAAAATATCACAATAAAAATATCTACTTTATCTCTCATTATTGTCTCAATATTTATATGCCAAAATATTATTTTCAATATTTATTATTTCATTTTTTAACCTGTTTGAGTAAATCGTGTGCATATATATTTTCTTGTTACTTTAAAAAGTATCTATATGAGAATCTCTCACGAATCGAAATAATATGAAGCAAACCAAATTTAATTGTCATCCTTTTAGACGGCAAACATTTTACCTCACTAATGATGTTTTTTTTTTTGTTGCAAAACTAAATCCAGCAAGATACAATATAACGCAAAAGATAAAGATAAAATAAATAAGTAAACTGCAAAAATCGATAAAATGTTAAACTTGAAGGTTATAAATTTACTGTTTACAAAACTAACATCCAAGTTGCTGTGGTGTAGTGGTTATCACGTTAGTCTTACACACTAAAGGTCTCCAGTTCGATCCTGGGCAGCAACACATCTCTTTTAAGCATTTTTTAGAAAGTATATATATTATTCGTTTTACCTTGTTTGTTGTCTTAATAAACTGCTATATGATACATAAATAACTCGAGAAACAAACAAGCAAATGCTCAATTGCAGATAACATGGAGTGAGGGAGTCAATTGCAGATAACATGGAGTGAGGGAGTAATAGGATTAGAAAAACTTTGAGGTATGTATTCCATTAGGACTGCGCTTGTCTCTGTTTATTTCTCTTCAATTTACTAATATTGATTTCAGTATTTTTAATATTTTTTGGATAGAATGTTTGAATATATGATACATGATAAGTATTTATTCTACTATAGTACTATTTGATACACGCATAAAATGATATTATGAATCATATTTAGATGACAAAATACTTTTATAAAATAATTATATATTTTTTAAAATAACTTTTAATATTTTATATAAATTTTAATAATACTGAAAATCGAATAAGTTAAGGGTTAAAAATGTTTTTAACCCCTATAAATATTTCAAAATTTAGTTTTAATTCCCAGAACATTTTCGTTCAAAGGATCGTTTTTATAAAGTTTTTCGTCTCTATTTTTCGTCTTTGTGGTCTATTCCACTTAACGGAAGCCTATGCAGAAGCTAATTTGACCTTTTTTTTTTTTTTAATTTTGAAAATAGGTAAGGTTAAATAATTAGATGCCACATATTTAGGTAATGTTGAATAAATAGTTAATGTTGAAAACCCTAAAATACTCTATCGCTTTCTTGTTCAAGCAGAAGGTTCTTTCTTGTATCCATTCCTTTCTAATGGATTCGATGAGGGTTTTGATGAGGCTTTTGGTGGTCAACCCATAAACTTACCTGATGCAGATGGTGCAGGCTCTAGTGAGGCAGTGGAACATAGTTTTATAACACCAGAGATGGGTAAGGAACATGTAATTGAAGATGAGTATATGCCTTATGAGCTTGATAGTGGTGCTGAAGATGATAATGGTGATTATACAAGTTGGTAATGGAGTTTTCATCATTATAGCAGTTCAAGAGTTCTATTTTGGAACATAAGGCATTTAATGAGGGGGATGTGAGATTTGAGAAAAATGATGCAGTGAGATGTAAGGTGGTTTGCCAGGAAAAATCACAATGTAATTACATTGTGTTGTATAATAAAGTCTTAACATCAACAACATTTATAATTAAGACCTTATATGCTAAACATAAGTGCTGAAGACGGTTTTTTAACAAGAGTGTCAAAGCTGATTGGGTTGCAAAACTAATTATTGATAGGATGAAGAACAATAACAAAATGAAGTTGAATGATGTAATTGCATATGTTAGGGTGATGTATGCTATTGAAATTCTTGGTTGTAGGGCATTTAAGGCAAGATAAATTGTCAAAAGGATAGTGGAGGGAGACTCTAGCAAACAATATAGTCTATTATGGTCATATAGAGATGAATTGAGGAGGGCTTCACCAGGAAATACTTTCAAGCTAAACAATCAAACTCCAAGTCATGGTTTACTACCAAGGTTTAAAAGGTCTTATATGTTCTTTGATGGAACAAAGAAAGCTCTCAAATTTTCTTGTAGGCCCTTTATTGGACTAGATGGATGTCATCTAAAACACAAGTATGGTGGGATATTATTAATAGTTGTGGAAAGAGATCCTAATGATCAGTATTTACCTATTGCATTTGGAGTGGTGAAAACCGAGTCAAAGGACACTTGGAGTTGGTTTATGCAACTACACTGAGCCCAAACCAACTAAAGGGGATGCAAAATTTATGGAGAATGCAAGAAAGAGGAACAAGGGGATAAAAGGTGAAGATGATGTTGATTCATGTACTAATAAGGATTCTAGTGATGAGTTTGTGAAGGATATCAAAGTTTAAGATATTGAAGAAGAAAGGATGAATGGATTTGATGAGGCTTTTGGTGGTCAGCCCACAAACTTACCTAATGCAGATGGTGCGGGCTCTAGTGAGGCAGTGGAACATAATTTTATAACAACAGAGATGGGTAAGGAACATGTAGTTAAAGATGAGTATATGACTAATGAGCTTGATAGTGGTGTTGAAGATGATAGTGGTGATTGTACAAGTTGGTAATAGAGTTTTCATCATTATAGCAGTTCAAGAGTTCTATTTTGGAACATAACGCATTTAATTGGGGGATGTGAGATTTGAGAAAAATGATGCAGTGAGATGTAAGGTGGTTTGCAAGGAAAAATAACAATGTAATTACATTGTGTTATGTAGTAAAGTCTTAACATCAAAAACATTTATGATTAAGACCTTATATGTTAAACATAAGTGCGAAAGGCAGTTTTTTAATAAGAGTGTCAAAACTGATTGGGTTGCAAAACTAATTATTGATAAGATGAAGAACAATAACAAAATGAAGTTGAATGATGTAATTGCATATGTTAGGATGATGTATGCTACTGAAATTCCTGGTTGTAGGGCATTTAAGGCAAGATAGACTGTCAAAAGGATAGTGGAGGGAGACTCTAGCAAACAATACAATCTATTATGGTCATATGGAGATGAATTGAGGAGGGTTTCACCAAGAAATACTTTCAAGCTAAACAATCAAACTCCAAGTCCTGGTGCATAAACTTGGAGGTTATGATGCATGAACTTCCTCTCGTAAAGGACCATTCATAAATGCATATTTCACATCTAAATGCATCAGAGGACAATTCATATTAGCAGTTATAGCAATCACTAGTCTGATTTTTTCATGCCTAGCTACATGTGCAAACACTTCAAAGTAATCTAAATAAAATTTCTATAGAAATCCTCTAGCTACTAACCTTTCTTTGTGTTTTCCAATTGATCCATCTAGCTTTAGTTTCACCTTATAAACCCATCTCGCGCTGATGACTTTCTTGTTTCTTGGAAGCTCAGTCGACTCTAAGTCTTGTTTATTTCTATAGCCCTAAGTTCTTCTTTCATTGCCTTTAGCTACACTTTCTTTTTTCGAGCTTCTTCAATAATGATTGGTTCAAAGTCTACTAACATGGCACACTTAATGACTTCTTCTTCAGAGTCTATCTCAGTATTTTGCAACATGTCAAACTCTGTGAATCTTCTTGGTATTTGTCTGATTCTTTGTGGTCTCTAAACTTGTTCAAAATCTTCTTCAAATGTTGAAGCAATATCAGATGTTGGACTACCTTCAGAGGTTGAACCACCTCCAGAGGCTTGACCATCTTCAGAGACTTGATTACCACTAGAGTCTGGACCATCATCAGAATCTGGATCAAAATCATATTCACCTTTAGAGTCAGACTCATTTTCAGCATCAAAATCGCCTTCAAACTCTGGTTCATCTTCAGACTCAGAATCTCTTTCAGAAGCAGATTCTTCTTCAGACTCTAAAATATCTTCAGAAGTTAAGTCAGATGTTAACACTGCACTAGAGTTGGATTGAGACTTGTTCTAATCCCACGCTTCTGATTCTTTCACAATGACAACTTTTCTGAATTCCACTTTCTTAGTGACGGGACAATACAACTTATAAGCATTTGTACTGTGGTACCCTACAAGCAACATAACTCGGCTTCTGTCGTCCAACTTCCTTCTCTTAGCATATAGAACATGTTTGTAACAAGTAGAACCAAACACCTTCATATGGCTCACACTTTACTTATCTTCAGTCCATTTCTCTAAAGGAACAATTTTCTTCAGCTTCTTGGTTGGACACCTATTGAGCACATATGCTACAGTTGCAACAATTTCTCCCCATAAGTGTGAGGAAGCTTTTTCTCCTTCATATTGCTCCTTGTCATATCAAGCAAAATTTTGTTTCTTCTTTCAAAAAAACCATTGTGTTGAGGAATGTATGGAGCAGTAACCTCATGCTTAATTCCATTCTCGTCACAAAAATTATTAAAATCTGTAGAGTTGTACTCACCTCCACCATCAACTTTGAGAATTCTAAGCTTCTGACCACTCTGTTTTTTAGCCTTCACCTTGAACTTCTGAAACTCAGCAAACAGTTCATGCTTAAACTTGATAAGTCTTACCCACGCCATCCTTGTGAACTCATCCATAAAAGACACAAAATACTTGTTTCCTCCAAGTGAATGTACTTTAAATGGGCCACAAACATCATAATGCACTACTCCTAAAGCATGTTTTGCTCTTGAGGCCACTTTTGATGCAAATGGAAATCTAGGTTGCTTACCTTTCATGCATGTCTCACATGACTTCTCAGGCTTCACAGTCTTAGGAATTCCATGTACAAGCTTCTTATAACTAATATTCCTTAAGCTTTTGAAGTTCTGATGCCCCAATCCCTTGTGCCACAACTCGCTGTTACCTTCAGCACTAAGGCATTTAGTTTCATTTGTTTTCACATTCACTTTGAATGTTCTGTTGCTTCCCTATTAAGATTGCATAATCAGCTTCTGATCAGAATCATACAACTTCATGAGATTGTCCTTCATAATAAACGAGTAACCTTTCTCAATTAGCTGAACTACACTCATTAGATTGCTCTTCATGCCAGGAACATGCCAAACATCATTGATCAGGACAGTTTTTCCATTCTTCACTCTGACTTTGACATTTCCCATTTCTTCAGCATTCAGATACTTATCATCAGCACATCTGATATTCGTCCTCTTTCTAAAGTCAAAATCTATCAGCCATTATTTGCTTCTAGATATGATTTGAGCAGACAGTGTCCATATACCACCAGTCTACCAAATATCCACCATCAAATTCAAAATCCATTAATAACACAAACTCATCATTAGATTCTCCTCTGACTATGTTTGCTTCTTCTTATTTTCTCTCCTTGTTTGACCAACAGTCAGCAACAAAGTGACCAAGCTTCTTACAAGGGTATCACTGAACCTTTTTCTTCTCAAATTCACCATTTCCCTTATGATGTTTCTTCTCATCAGAGTTAGAGGCTTCTGACTTTTGATAACTACCACCATATCTCTTCTTGGCGTCTGACCAAGACTGCTTTTAATTCTTCTTACCAGAAGATGCCTTCAGAGCCGACTTTACCTCTCTTTCAGAGGTTCTCTCAATCAGACACAACTCCTGTGCCTCTAGACTGCTATGTAGCTCTTCAATTCTCATGATGCTCAGATGTTTAGAATGTTCAATTGTTACAACAATGTAATCAAATTGAGGAGTAAGATATCTCAATACCTTCTCAATGATTACTTGTTCAGAAAGAGTTTCTCCACAAGATTTCATCTCATTTGTGATCAGAATTACTTTGGAGATGTAATCTGGTACCTTCTCATTGTTCTTCATGTTGAGAATCTCATACTTCTTACATAGAGACTAAAGCTCCACCTTCTTCACTGATGCGTCACCACCGTAGCACCGTGCCAGTATGTCCCACACAGCCTACGCCGTTGTCGAATTAGCAATATTTTCAAACACATTCACATCCACACACTGATAGATGTAGAACAGAGCTTTCTGATCCTTCTTCCCCATCTCTCTATACGTGTCCCTCTGTGCTTCAGTTGCATCTGCTGCAACCATTGCATAACCGCCATTGATGAGATCAAGAACATCTTTAGCACCAAACAATACATGCATCTGAATCATCAGCTGATTCCAATTCTTTCCATCAAAGACTAGGAGCTTTGCATTCAAACTACCGTTTCCACCGTTCATCTTCGATCTTGTGCAAGAGTTCATTTAGATCTCACCAAACACTCGTGTTCCCCAATCCCACATAATCAAGAAATGTGATTCTGTTATGATTTCGAACTTCGATTAACTGTGAATTTCAGAACTGAAATCAATCACACACACCTCATGTTCACTCGTGTTTTCTTTGGTGTTTTCCATGGATCCGAACCAGAGCTCTAGATACCAATTATTGATGCACAAATAAGAAGAAGATAAAGATGAATGAGAAAAGGAGAGAAAAAATTGTAACTAACTTTTGAAATTGAAATTCTGTTACGCTACTCAATTTTGTCACATAAGTTGTTTTTATACTCAAACCAATTAAAATAAAAATTAAATGATAATCAAATTAAATCTAAATTCAATTTCAAATGAAATGAATTATAAGAATGCATCTTTGAATTCTAAGCAGTTTTTATTTCTGAAAAAAGTAGTGCCCGAAAAATAATATTAGGAGTATGTTGCTAATATATTTTTGGCCATTTATAAAAAAGTGATTTATGTTGGAATAAAATAAAAGAAACACACTAATATCATGCACCTTTCACACCTGATCATTCCTCCCTCAAACCAGTGAGCTCTTTTTGTGCGCTCCCTCTGATTCTCAAGACTCCGTTTCCATCATCTTCCTCTTCACTTCATTTATTCAAATCCTCGTCGCCGTTTACTCCATTACCGATTAGGTCACGTGCCGGTTACTGATTCGATATAATCAATAAACTATTGTTGGGGTTTCATCTAATTCCTATCGGTAGTATTGTTGGGGTTTCATTATTCATTACAAAGTAGGCTTTTACTGGATTCTCTAGTGAAACTCTTAGTCAAGTTTCGTTCTTTTTTCTCTTTTGGCTTCACTGTTTAAGCTCCAATTGAAGAAAAAAACGGTATTGGTATTTAGTATCAAAATCAGAATGCCTGAGGTTAGGATCATTGCCAAGAATTTCATGGACATGGTGGCTTCAATGCCTGCCATGAAGCTTGATAAACTCTACGAGAATGGATTCATATGCGAAGCTATTCTCAGGTAACTGTTTTTATAAGCTCTTCCAAATAGCTTAAAAGTGCTTATTTAAGTAGATGAATCCAATCAAATAAGTCAATCCAAATAGTCCTAAATGGGTTAAGTAAATTGTGTTTCTTCTTGAGTTGTTGTGCAGGCTTTATGGCTTTAACAGATGCATGTTTTGAAATGTTAGGTCTCTTCCGCCTCTTGCGAAGAAATATGTTTTACAGCTGCTGCATATTGATGTAGCAGTGTCAGCTAGATTATTTGCAGAATGGGTGCTTCCAGATGGAGTTTCAAAGCACAAAGTTGCCATTGATAGATTGGTTCAATTGAGACTTTTCATTGAAGCTCTTGATAGGTACGTGAGATTTTTCTCTCTTGAAAAATTTAATTTTCTGTATCTTCTGAAAATGAAAAGTGGACATTTATGTTTCTGAAATGGTTCAATCTGATTCTTTTTGTTTGTAATGACAATTGGACAAATGCCAGCCTAAACTATGTAGTTTGGACACATGTTCTGCACCTTGTAATGTGTTGAAGGGCCTTTTTGTGATAAAGCCTTGCTTTGTTTTTCACACACTCACATGTTGTAGTTCAATGGAAATTTTTTGTTTTTCTCTATATGTGCTAAATCTCTTAACACAATTGCAGGTGGCCTTTTTTTTTTTGCTTTTCGATTGTTTCTTTTATGACATTTATCTGTGTTACTTTGTAGAGTTATCAATCACCATTATAACAGGGTTTAATGTCACAATTTGTTTCCTTTTTTTATAAAAAATCTTGACTATGTATATTATTCTCCACATTTCTGCGTGTCTTTGTCTCAAGCCTTTAGAGCACTGAAACATCGTCAATATCACTTTGGATCCTTATTTTATCCCAGTTTAGTATTTTTTTTCTCCTTCTAGCAGGAAGAACGAAAAAACTTACAAACTTAATTCAACATATCAGAGAAGTCTCCAGCAACTTTTAGTACATGGGTGAGTAGTACATCATTTTGTCTTTTTTTCCGCTTCTTTTCATTGTGATAGTATTAGTTATCCTATCTTGTTCCCTGGTTGCTATGAAGGTACACAAAATTGTTAATGAGCAGTTATTATAAGTTAACAAACCTATATAGATGATAGGAGGTTGCTTCACGAAATTATAGGACCAAAATGTTATTCCTCAATTCAAAATTCATTATAAAAAATGGTTACAATAACGTGGTTATTAAAATGTAGACTGCTGTTGTACAACAGCAATATTTGCTTTAGCTGGTAACTTGTCCTTGTGATTAAATATGGCAGAGGAACTTTGCCGAGGGAATCAATGCCTTCTAATATTACTGTGAGGCTCCCGACCTTAGAGGATCTTGAGACTTATGCTCTGGAACAATGGGAGGTGCAGTATCTTATCTCATAATTCCATTCTCTGTTTAATTTGTACATCTATAAAGCAGTTATATTCCAAATTTTATTTGTTATATAAATCGCTTTAATTATTTGACTTAATTAATCTGCAACGTGTTGTTGTTAAAATTTTGACTAAAATGAAGTCTAAACTCTCCGGTGACTTTGTTTTGTGGTGAACTAGTGTTTCTTGTTGCAACTTATAAGCCCAAGTCATGCTGACAAGACCTTAAATATAAGCTCTTCTTTGATGAAAGTTTTCCAGCGTCGTCTCCTGAGTCAGAGGTTCTGTTTACATGGCAGTGTTACTTCTCATTTGTAACAGTTGTTTGTTCATATGTGGGTGTTGCAAATGTATCTCATATTTGATGCCATTTTTTATGTACAATGCAGAGACAGAGAAGCTCCAAAATTAACTGAAAGTGGTTTCCAGTTTTTGGTATGCATCAAATGATATATAAGCCACATGAACTCATTGTAATGCATTCTTATAAACATAGAATTTGTTTGTTATGAACTACAGCTTATGGATACAAATGCACAGCTTTGGTACATCATCAGAGAATATATATCTAATTCTGAGGTAGCTCTAAAAGTTATCTATCTATATGTACATGTTTTTGCTATTTGATTCCTACACGCTCTTCATCATCTACTTTTGGTGCAGGAAAGAGGTGTTGATGCAGGTGACTTGATCTCATTCATGCTTGAGCTTAGTTTTCATGTAATTGGGGAGGTACGACATTCTTCTACTTTGCTGCAAATCTGTTGTACATGAAACTATTATATTCTACGTTGTCATTACTTCTTCAACTTTTGTTCTGGTGTGACTTTTGTTGTCTTATTTCCCTTTTGTAACTGCAAATTAATGCGCCTTTGACACATGATCTTTTTCAATGATTAGGCATACAATATAAACACATTAACTGATTTCCAGAGGAACATAATTAAGGACCTAGCAGACCTTGGGCTGGTCAAACTTCAACAGGTTATAATGTTTGTGTGCTTATATTTGTAGATAATGAATGAGATACATGATGATGTAACTCTGTATTTATTCATCATTATTTATCTCCCTATTTATTATTTTTTTGACAACTTTATAGGGCAGAAAAGAAAGTTGGTTTATACCAACGAAATTGGCAACAAATCTTTCAGTGAGCTTTACCGAATCATCATCAAGAAAGGAGGTCTCTTCATCATTTCAGAGTGGATTTATTTTATTAGAAATTTTAAGCGTGGCCTTATTTATGCATGTGATTTTGTTTAAGGAAACTCCTTACATGCTGAGTGGAGGCTCTGTAGTGAATTTTTGTTTGACCTGCACTTTTCCCTCTGTGCCTTGTTCCGTGTCTTATTGATGTCCTTATATTTCTTCTTTCCGTTTAATAAAATTGATTATGTTATCAAAACGAAAAAGGAAACTCTGAACACATTAAAATGTTGCTTTATAATTTTGTTCATGTGGTAGATTCTATACTTCAGACTGATGATCTCATAACATGTGAGTGGTTCATTGATTGGCTTTAGTGCATTTGTTCTAATCTATAAATATATATTTTTCTAAAGGAAAATGTAAAGAGTTGCGAATATAAAATGTCATTCTATTTATTTTTTTCAGGGATTTGTTGTTGTGGAAACAAATTTTAGAGTTTATGCTTACTCGACTTCAAAATTACATTGTGAGATATTGCGGCTATTCTCAAGGTTTGCTGCCGAATACTTTCTGCAATGCTGTGTTCTATTTTCATCAAATTCCCTTTGGGTTTTGGCACTTCTCATGAACATTGAAATTGCATGTTGTTGTTTTTTGTTCATGGAATGCATTTTTTATTATCCTTAATTTATCTTAGACTATTTTTAAATGGTATATAGTAAACCATTAGTTCAGCAATAAGCCTTTAAATGACCTATTTCACTAAAATATTGTTGTTTGGTCTTGGTACAGCAAGTGTTTCTTTCATCCATTTACAAATATCTAATAGTGAATAGTTTGCAATGTATCCAGGGTAGAGTATCAGCTTCCAAATCTTATTGTTGGAGCTATTACAAAAGAAACTTTGTATAACGCTTTTGACAATGGCATTACAGCAGACCAGGTAAATATTAGAAATTATATTGTATCATATAATATCTGCTTTTTAAACTGTGGTACTCACTCACTATAGATAGGTGTAGTCTCAACATTGTTTTACCATTTGTTTTTCACCATTTGACTCTTGTAAAGGAAAATCTTAATAAGTATTCTCCTGAAGGAGTATAGTGAGCTATTCAACTTGAGACCAGATATATGGTGATCAACTTCGATCCTTCACTGATAAATGAATAGATTTTTATTAGTTATTAATGTTTTTTAGTATTGCATCTTTCCAGGGCCACGATATACTAGTTTCTATGTCTACGTGTTTTGCACTTTTTACTATTTTTATACCTTAGGTTCATTTTTCCAACAAAGAAACATAGAAATTCTACTTGAACTTGCTTTGCTTTTAGTTAAATATTAAGCAAAAGCTGTTTGTGTGAGTTGGCTTTTAAGCTACTTAGTTCAGACCATATCTTACACATCAACTGTGTGCATTATGTTGCAGATAGTCAGTTTCCTTAGGCAGAATGCCCATCCTCGTGTTGCTCAGAGGATACCAGCTGTGCCGGACAATGTCACAGATCAGGTTTTGAGTCTTAATAGTGTATGTGTGTAGTTGCTTTATTTTCATTTTCTGATTTGTAGCATTATGACGGTGACAGATTAGGCTGTGGGAATCAGATATAAACAGAGTTGAGATGACAGAAGCATATTACTATGATGAGTTCCCATCCAGGGTAAGCGGCTTTGATGCTTTGAGTTCATGTTGTCTGGATCCCCTATTATGTATTTTTTTCATTCCTTATGTCATTTGTGTGGCAGGATGTATTTGAAGGTGCGTGTGACTGCGCCAGAGAATGGAATGGTTTATTATGGGAAGATTCAAAGAAGATGCATTTGGTGGTTAAGTCTGAGGTTCATTCATATGTGCGGGATTTTTTACGCCGCCAAAAGTAGTTAGAAAGCCACACAATCTGATGCATCTTATGGTTGGGCCATCGTGGAAAGGAAACTACAGGAAGCAATGTGGTCACACAATTGGCAGCCACAATCATTCTTTCATATATGTTGTTCCCTTTTAGAAAAGGGTTTTCTTGTTGCTGTGAAACTTTTCATATTTAATATAGAACTACATAATTGAAAGAAGATTATAATTATGTGGTCAAAGTATTATAGAGCTTAACTTCTTTTTCAAATTGTACTTAACAACATTAAGAGTAGGGATTTACTTGCTGCTTAGAATTTGAAGTAAAGTATGCTAATTGACAAGTATGTCACTCGTCAAAAGACATGTATGCCATGAAGATCAAGTATATTGTATATAGCTGAAAAGCATTAAAATAAAATCCATTGTGAAAATGGGAAAAAAAACTTGTCTCAAACAAACAGTGCTAATGATTTATAAAGGCGTTGATTGGATAGAAAATTAAAATCTAGGATAACTCAAATAAAATTCATGGCCTCCGGTTACAATCTAATCCAACTACTACAAAACTTTCCAATACATACTGCTTTCTCAAGCCAAAAAGAATTAATAAAGCATTAATCATGCTATTGAAATGTTGTATACAAAATGGACCTTAATCATGCTGATAAAAAGCATAAACTAAGATAAAAAGAAAACATAAATTCCTGCAAATGTATGATGGCAAATAAAGAACAATTAGGGGTCTCATTGAAAAAAGTATTCTATTTTCACTTTTAATTGTAAAACTATCACTTATTTTCACTACATTTCATAATTGTCCAAAATTCGAAAAAAAAAAAGAAGAAAATAAGTGATATATTTATAATTAAATGTAAAAGCATAAAATATTTTCTTCAAGACACAGTCTTAGTTTCTTGTAAGCTTAAGTTGTCGTGAACTATGCAGAGGTGTCTGGTATATCAGGCGGATGGATGTGATCTACATGTTTTCGCTTCGGCTTCTGAACAGACTCAGGCTCAGGCTTCGGTGGCCTGTTGGGACTGACTTTATCAGCCTCATCTGGTTTAACTTCAAACTGCAATATGCAAATGTGTAAAATTGGTTAGTTACAGAAAGTTTCAATATTTCATTGTTATGTAGATTTCTATAAACATAAATATAAATACTTGAGTAAATAATCACAGGACAGTCATATCATATAAATCACAATCATTATATGGTACCTTTCATTTCCCTTTTTAAATAAATATGTAGACTTTTGAAGCAAACACATAGTAGTTCAAAAAGCATGATTCCATCCTATCTTTCTAATAGTCCTTTCTTAGAACCTCATCCGATCCAAAGCGCTTTTGTGAGTGTGCGTGCGTGTGTATATGTTCTTCTGGGGTAGTATGCACATGACATGTTAACAAAAAAATTCAGTACGAAACCAAACTTACCTTGTAACCACAGCCAGATACACAAGCATGGAAACATTCCTGCATAGGAAGGAACGAAATCATCATTAATTTGTAGACATCCCTATCATAACTAATCTTTTGGTATTAAAAAATTACAAGCACGTTATGATTAATTCACTTTGCTTTTGGGCCATGCCTTCCGAAAATCATCTCAATTTCAGAGCAAAAAAACTAAAATTCAGTTGCTGGTTAGATAACTAGTTCAATAATCCTAAAAAACAGTACAGATAATCAAATGTAACAGTAATGTAGGCGTGAAAAGAAAATACCTCTGAATAACTGGCAGATCCAGGAGAACGATCAATATAAGCACTCCATTTTTGGTCCTTTAGTACAGGATCTTTGTAGCATAGTTGATTACAGTCCTCCAAACCTGATTAAACATTACTTAATACTTATCATTTGTAAATCATAATCAATTTATGTAACATCATACATTTTCCTTTCTTTTTCACAGAATTTGCAAAGAAAACTAATACAGATCTAGTGCTTTAGAGGTGCTGATTCTGAAAGTATGAACTAAGTGTTAACAAACTGGCTAGAACCCAGATTGGCTATTTCTTGCACATGGAGTTTTTCAAGTGAAATAAATATATTTTTCTTGCTCACAGATATACCTTAATAAGTTTATAAATATTTATGGGAAGTTAAACGAGATAGATGCAAAAAGCGAAAAAACTTTAGCCATCAAAGGCAGATGCATCATTCTATTGTGCTTCAATAACAAACTAACCTAACCTAGCCAATGTAGGGACTAATAAGCAAGAGTTCATCGTTGAAATAATGCTATAAAAGGAAAATTGTTGCAACCAGCCAAAAATCCACCATTGCGACTTGTAACCTATGGAAGGTGGCATAGAACCCACCATGCCATAACGCCATGATAGAAATTATACAAACATTCCATTAAATTTCTAATTGCCAAAGTGGTTTACCAGGACCATCTTTAAAGGCGTGCAAGGCGGACTACCGCACATGGCCTCAAAATTTTAAGTTAAATTATAGCTAAATGGGGCCTCATAAAATATTTATCAGGTTAAATCGTGATTAAATAGAGCCTCCATTCGTTTGAGACTTGTTAAACTCTGATTAACCAACTGGCCTCCAATAACTTGAGAGTGGTCTACCAACTAGTATCCAACACTGTAGGATTGACACATATCTTAGTATCCAACACCAGACACAACGCATGTGATTACTTTCAATTTACTCATATTTTCAAATTATTACCGGTTTCCACGTGTGTCAATGTCAATGTCGATGTGACTTCCAATAACTAATTAGATTTTCCTTTTAATGCAGGCAATAATTAGTGTGTTTAACTACAATTATCAAATAAAAATAGAGTAAAAACAGTCGCAGAGTCATTAATGAATGTTTCAACGAACAAAACCATAATTATGAGAAAGTAAAAATTGAAATCATTGATGAGGAATAAAAAAGAATGAAATCTTACATTCCTCCCATGTGTCTCCATCTGAACCACATCCTTTTTTGCAGAAAACTCGCCCTAGACAAACAAGTAGAGGAGATTCATGAGGAAGATTGAAAATAGAGAAACGAAAAAAGAAGAATAGAGAAAGAAATTACATGGAAGTTTGGTGAGGGCTGCGTATTTATTGGTGCATTGTTTTCCGCATGGAGATGCCCATTGTTGCGGTAACATTTTTCTTCTCTCTATTCTCAAAACAAAAACATGGAAGGAGAAGAAATCAGAGAGAGCCGTTCGTGTAGAGAATGTAACTAAACAGGGGTACTTTCGTCACTTCAGTGCGTATACACGCAACACACCGGTTTTCTCCAATGTTTTTGACCACCGTGTCTGTTCTGGTCGCATACCAATTAATCTAAAAAATGTGCGGAGAATTATAGGTTTTTTTGAATAAAAAAAGAATCACTATAATTTTTTATATTATTTAAGATTTTTTAAAAACTTACAAAAAACAAAAAACATTTTCTAACTATTAAAAGAAAAGTTAATTATAGTTTTTGTCTTTTAAGATATTTTTAGTTTTTACTTTGGTTTAAAATTTTCAAATTTTATTTGTTTTTTATAAGTTACAAATGTTTGACATTTAAATCTTTTAAGTATTTTTGGTTTTTTAGGGTTTGTTTGATTTAATCGATGAGAGGGAAGGAAAAAAAGAGGTGAGAAATTTTTAGACAAAATAACTTTTTTCGTCCCTTAACTTTACCTCGAGGTCCATTTTGGTCCCTTATTTTAAAAAAGTGTCAAGTTGGTCATTTAACTTTTAAAATGGTGTCACATTTATCCTTCTGTGTGTTGCCGTTAGTCAAACTTTGAAAAAATTGTCACGTTTGTCCAGGTGGAGCTGTTGACGTGGATATGAAGTGTCTTAGAGGAAGAAAAACAATCTAACGTTTCCATTACCCACCATTACCCAGAAGAAGGCACAATACGCTTGGAGAAGTGTAATCATATCTTGATCGCTTGGAGAATTCATTGAATCATTGAAGACGATTCAAGGTTTGCAAACGCGAAGATTCAAGACGCGAAGGATTGACGGCGGAGGATTGAAGACGATTCAAGAGACATAATCAAAAGGTTAGTTCATTTCTCTCTGATTTAGGATTTTCTGGTAGAGGTTCAGATTTAGGGTTTATGTAAATTTGTTAGTGTAAACTTTAATTATTTACATGATATGATTAGGTATCATGGATGAATACATAACTCTCAAAATTCATCATAGTGGTGAGTTCACAAATGAAGATCGTAGTGTATATGAGAATGGAGTAGTATATAATTTGAGGGTAGATGTAGACAGATGGAGTTTTTTTGAGCTAGTTGGTGTATTGAAAGACTTGAGTTATAGGGAGTTTGAAACAATATTTTACAAGGACCCTCAATTTGGGATGAATCCACTTGTTGATGACAATGGTGCTTTAGAAATTGTAGACCTGTATAGGCTGCACCAAAATGTTGATATTTATATTGAACACACATTGTCTCAACCTGACTACCGTGATGTTGTTGTTGATGAAGTTGACAAGGACCCTGCTGAAATTGTAGATGAGGTAGAGGAGTTACTTAGTCAACTGCATGATGAAGTTGTGGAAGTTGAACAAACCACAGTTGGGTTGGAGGAAGGTGATGTTAGAGTTGATGAAGCCATTGTTGGGTTGGAGGAAGGTGATGTTAGAGTTGATGAAGCCACTGTTGGGTTGGAGGAAGGGAATCCTGCATGGGATGTTAGAGTTGATGAGGATCCTGTAGTGGATGAACATACTGTTGGAGTTGAAAAGGGAATCCTGCAGGGGAAAAAGGTAATGTTGGAGTTGAAAAAGGGAATCCTGTAGGGGAAGAAGGTAATGTTGGAGTTGAAAAAGGTAAAGTTGCAGTGTATGATGACTTAAGTCTATCATTTGATGATAGTTTAGATGAGGACTACAATTATGATAGCGCACAAGATATTGCTTTTGAGGATGAGTCTGATGGGTGTGATGAAATTGAGGAGGATGAACTTGATACCCTAGTTGGTCATGAAAATGATGGTAATGGAGAAGCCCTAGAAAATGATCGTAAAGGGAGTGACAATGACAGTGAGGAGATGCAAAGTGGTTGTGACAATGATGATAGCAATGGAGTTCTAAGAAAAAAACATCCAATTTTCAGACAGCCAAAAGACATGTCATATTACAAGTGGGATTTGGGAATGTACTTTAGTTCAAAGGGTGATTTTAGGGAAGTAATAACAATTTATGTTGTGCAAAATGGTAGAGACCTAAGGTTTGTAAAAAATGACAGAGTTAGGGTAAGGGTTAGATGTAAAGTTGGTTGTGAGTGGGAGGCTTATTGTAGCAAGTTGTCAAATGAAGACACTTGACAACTCAGGAAAGTAATTGACAAACACAATTGTAGTAGAGAGTATAATGTGAAGCTGATGAGTACAAAGTGGTTGAGTAAAAGAATTCAAAATAGCTTGAAAAACAATCCAAGGTTGGGTATAAAGGATATCAAGGAGAAGGCACAAAAAAAGTGGAATGTTGGGGTCAACAAAACCAAAGCTATAAGAGCAAGATTTGCAGCTAGAGACTATGTTGATGGTTCCTTTTTGGGAGATCACACAAGGGTCTATGACTACTGTCATGAACTGTTAAGAGCCAGTCCAGGGTCAACAGTTAAGTTCAATGTTGAGCCTGTACAAGTAGGTGTGAGGATGAAATACCATATTTTAGAAGGCTTTACATATGTTATGCTGCGTGTAAGGAAAGCTTTAAGTTTTGCAGGCATGTAATAGGTCTAGATGGGTGTTTTCTTAAGGGGTTGTGTGGAGGGAAGATTCTAGCTGCCATTGGGAAGGATCCTAATGATCAAATGCTTCCCATAGCATATGCAGTTGTGGAGAGTGAAAACAAGGATAACTGGACTTGGTTTTTAGAGCTGCTAATTGATGACCTTGGAGGCAAAGATGAATGACTGACTTACAGCTTCATCTCAGACCAACAAAAGGTAAGTTTTCATTTATTTTTATGGTTTTATGTGTTTATGTTATGCTATATTGTAATGCTACATTGTATGTTATTGCAGGGTCTGCTACCTACTATGGATGAGCAATTACCAAGGGTGGAGCACAGGTTTTGTGTTAGACACCTCTATAACAATTTTAGGAAAAAGTTTCCTGGAAAGATGTTAAAGGACATAATATGGAAGGCTGCCAAGTCAACAAACCCACAGGCATGGGAAAGAGAGATGAAGGGAATAAGGGCCATCAATGAAGAAGCATTTAAACATATGATGAAGACCCCACCAAGGTTTTGGAGTAGATCTTACTTTGGGATTGAAAACAAATGTGATGTTGTTCTCAACAACATGTTTGAGTCCTTTAATAGTGTCATTCTTGAAGCAAGGGCAAAACCTCTAATCATTATGTTAGAAGACATCAAAACATACATGATGGAGAGATGGGCAAATAACATAATGAGATTTGGAACTTTGGATGAGAATGATATTTTGCCCAATATTAGAAAGAAACTTGATGTCACAAGCACATACACCAATAACTGGCTAGTAAGGTATGTCACAACATACATTAATTCTTTAGGACGTCTATGACATACATGTGACTAATGTATTTTGTTTGTTTAATCATTTAGGATGTCTGATGAACATATATTTGAAGTAAGGCACCTAGAAAATCAAGTTGACAAGTTTGTTGTGAACCTGAAAGATCAGATATGTTCATGCAGAAGATGGGAACTCACAGGACTCCCATGTGTTCATGCTCATTCTGCTATGAAGAGTAGGAATTTCAAAATTGATACTTGCATTCCATATTATTATAGGGTTTCAAGGTACAAGGCAGTTTATAAGCATGTGATCTACCCTGTTATTGGAGCAAACTTGTGGGTTAAGACACCATATCTAAATGTGCAACCACTCAAGTTCCGGAAGATGCTTGGTAGACCTAAAAAGAGGAGGAACCTAAACCAAGGTGAAATTGATGGGTCTGCTCACAAATTGAGAAGAACAGGTTTTCTGGTGAAGTGTAGTAGGTGTAAGAAAGTAGGACATTACAAGTCTACATGTAAGGACACAACAACTCAGACTACTCAACAACCTAGCCAACAATCAGCATAACCCTCTCATACTCCAACTCAGACTACTCAACAACCTAGCCAGCACACTCCTACTTCAACAACTCATCCTACTCAACAACCAAGCCAACCCTCTTAGAATAAAGCAACACACACTGCTAAGAGAACTTCTACTCAACAATCTAGCCAAGGATATCAGACTTCTAAGGGAAAGGCTGCTCAGAAGACACATGGACCTGCTAAGAGCAAGACACAAAAGTTGCCTGTAAGGAAGCCAACAAGACCTTTTGTGCCACCTGGGCCTACCACTAGGTTGAGTGCTGCCAAGAATGTTGTTGGCCCAGTAACAAGGAGGTCTACTCCAATAAAGAGGACTACGCCAAAGAAGAAACTCTAGTTGTGGAAAATGTGTATTCAGTTACCTAGAAAACTCTAGTTGTGGAATGTAATACAATGTTTATGTATTTTGTTGTTGTTGTGGAACATGTGTATCAGTTGTGTTAAAAGCATAACCTAACTATCATGAACAAGTTTATGTATTCTACTGTTGTTTTGGAACATGTGTATCAATTGTGGAACAAGTCTATTTTGTGGAATGTATTACAAGTTTATGTATCCTGCTGTTGTTGTTGTTTATGTATCATGTTGTCATGAACTTTATGTTAAAAGCATGACCAACTTATAGGTACTATGAAATGAACCTAAAAGAAAAACCTGTCATGAACTTTATGTATTATGAAATGGACCTGTCACGAACTTTATATTACTACAATCATATCTAATGTGGTGTAAAAATGAAAACAAAATTAACAGACCAACTTTCACAGGCCTATAACAGACCAAGTAAACATAAAAACATAACATGCCAAATATATCATTGACAAGCCAAATTAACATAATCTTTAACTGTTGGTTATGCTTTGATAGACCAAATTAAAAACACTTTGACATGATATTTATCAATGCATACCAAGTTAACATTACCTTTAACTGTTATATTCATGTGGAACTAATACAATCCAAAACTAAAACTGATACATTCATGTTGAACTGCAAAAAGTGAAATTAACTAAATTGATAGGATCTATATATTAGAATCCAACTATTACG